TACTAAGAAAGCTCTGTATATTTCTGACTCTATTGAGAATTTATTGTGGGTTTGGTGCCCTGTTTCAAAAAATATCCCATTTTCTAAACATCCCATTTTCATGCAAATCATTACATTTTTAATGGAGGCAACAGATAACCAACATGTCTCTTCCCTAACTAATGCCAGTGCTTCTCTCTATGCAAGGTGTCACTGAATATTTTTTCTGCAATCTCCAATACACTTTTTCCAGACCACTGCTAGTCAAGAGACAGATCACTGTCCCATCTCCTGTGACAAAACACAGTGCTCTCAAATGTCATTAGCAGGTGGCAGATTTAACACCAAGTAAATACAACTTCCTACAACATGCTCAGCTGTGAAACTGCCATGTATTCAGAAAAGTGTTCAAAAAGCAATTCGTAAAATCCTTTCAAGAAATGCCATTTTTTGAGATCATCACAGGAATACCACCACCTCCACCTCAGAAACTCCCTGAAGCAAAAACTAGGAGGGCACACCACAAGGGAATAACAATACATGCTTTATGCTACTTGGTGAAACACCTGTGAGTGTCACAGATGAGGGAACAAGCCAGCTGGACTTGTATCCTAACCACACCAACACGCCCTCACGGGAATTCTTTGTTCTTTATACAAGAAGCATTTGAAAGAATGATTTTAAACTAAAACCTTCACAAGGTGAAAAGTTTCCTAGCACAAAAATCCTATCTTCAAGGGACATTTCTCTCAAAATTACTAATACATGCCCATGACATTCTTTCTCACTGTGGAACACATTTGCTACTTATCTCCTGAAAAAGGGGCTTCATAGCTAAGAAAGCTTTATGGACCTGGAGAACTGTAGGAGGGGGATTGTCTACACTGATCAATCAGTAGATGTTATTCTTGATTTGTGAATTCAGAAATGCTATATACTGACATGTAAGAAAATAATAATGCCTGACTGGGTCACATCAGTGGCCCTCTAAGACAGCATTCCAACTAGAGCAATATCAATAGGAGATGCTATTCTGGGACAGCACAGAAACCTAGTCATTTTCTGTGGTCCCTTACCCTCATAGAACCCAACATCCACAGCTCTTAAAAAGTGTCAATATGGCAATCACATCTCGAGCATTTACAAGAGGAGAATGTGCAGCACTGTGATCTGTGACCACTCTGCCAATTTGAGGGGAGAACAAATTTAACAAAACATAATTCTTCAAATCTCTTTTTTGCTAAAATGCTGTCACTCAGGCACACAAAACCTTTCCCAACCCCCATGGTTTCACTGCACATTGCTCAGACATTGACAAGCATCTTCTTCAACATTACTCTTGGCAACTTCAAGTGCTTCAAAATAAAGGAAGAGAGTCCACACTGGCAGCAGTCTTGCTGATAAAAGTTGTGTCATTATTGTTCCAGTTACAGACAACCATTTTCATTAAGCTCCAGGAAGAAAAAGATGAAATAAAGGGAAATCTACACAGATACATGGATCATAGTTCACATCCTCCTATGAAGGATAATTTATTCCTCTTCTTTGGTGAAGATAGTTTAGACTGTAAAGTGTTTTGTGTTGTTGGTGGGTTGTTTTTTGTTGGGGTTTTTTGTGTGTTTTTTTCCAGTCAATTCAAAAGAACACAACCAAACACCATACTCACTAATTAGCTTTCCTGTTATATTATAAACATTCATACTAAAATCTAGAAATATGCCTGTCAAGCATCAGCAGTAAAACCATAAGAGTACTGCTAGTCAACATGGTTTCAACTACAATAGCATGTATTAAAAGAAACTAAACAAATGTGAATTAAAAAAAAAAAAAACAACCCACTAGCAACGAACTCCAATTCCTCTTTTCAGTAGCTTTTGCAATGGCTAACACTGTGCATGTGCAGCTGATGGGCAAGCTATCAAGATTTTACCAATTCTGTTCTGCATTGGCATGGAAAAGGGCATGAAGCCACAGCATCAGTCTGTATTTATCCATCAGTACTAGGATCTCACCATTTTAAATGCACACTAGTACACTTACACAACATATTGTTTCTGGATGTAAACTATTGTTTGCTAAAATATTCCCTTGCAAAAGGTGAGGTTCCTTCTATTGTCCTTTTTGTAATGGTAACCATTAAAAAAACAAAAATAAACAAAATAAAACAGTTCAAAACAGCTCTTTTCTGAAACAACTTGATGAATTTCATCTTAGTTGGGACTGAAGTATTAGTCAGCTAGTCGACTTGTGAATCAATTTTTAACTTAAAACTCATTTTACACTACTTTTCTCACTTTTCAGCAAGTCATTTAGTAACTGGAAGGGCAAATATTCATCAGAACATCTATTTTCACTTCATAAAGACCTTTGCTCTATGATAGGATTGTCAGTTGCCAGCACACAATCCAGGATTAAAATGATTAGCTGTTATAAAATCACAGAATCACAGTTGGAAGGGACCTCAAGGATCATGAATCTCCAAGTCCCCTGCAACAGGCAGGGCCACCAACCTCCACATTTCATACCAGACCAGGCTACCCAGACCAGCCTGTCCTCACAGGGGAGCTGCTCCAGTCCCCTGATCATCTTTGTGGCTCTCCTCTGGACCCTCTCCAACAGCTCCCTGTCTTTCTTGTACTGGGGGCTCCAGACCTGGATGCAGTACTCCAGATGGGGCCTCACAAGAGCAGAGTAGAGGGGGACAATCACCTCCCTGTCCCTGCTGGTCACCCCTTTTCTGATGGAGCCCAGGATACCATTTGTCCTCCGAGCCACCGGCTTCCAGCACACTGCTGGTTCAGTTAAACTTTTCATCCATCAAGACCCCCAGGTCCTTCTCCACAGGGCTGCACTCAAGGACCGCTCCTTCCAGTCTACATGGATGCCTGGGATTCCTCTGGCCCAAATGCAAAACCTTGCACTTTGCTGTGTTGAACCTCATTAGGTTCACCCAAGCCCACCTTTCCAGCCTGTCGAGGTCCCTCTGCATGGCATCCCTTCCTTCCACTGTGTCAACCGCACCACTCAGCTTGGTGTCGTCAGCAAACGTTCTGAGGGTGCACTTGATTCCACCCTCAATGCCATTGATAACAGTGTTAAAGAGCACCGGTCCCAAGACAGACCTCTGGGGGATGCCGCCGTTATCGGCCTCCACCTGGACATAGAGCCATTGATGACCACCCTCTGTCTGTGGCCTTTTAACCAATTTCTTATCCACTGAGTGGTCCACCCATCAAATCCATGTTCCTCCAATTTGGATATAAGGATGTGGTGGGGGACCATGTCAAAGGCCTTGCTCAAGTCCAGGTAAATGACATCGATCGCCTTCCCCTTGTCCAGCAATGCCGTCACTCCATCATAGAAGGCCACCAAATTGGTTAAGCATGACCCTCCCCTGGTGAAGCCGTGCTGGCTGTCTCCGATCACACGTTCGTTCCTCATGTGATCAAGCATGCTGTCCAGGATGATCTTCGCAGATCACAGAGGCGAGACTCACCAGCCTGTAGTTCCCCAGGTCCTCCTTGCTCCCCTTCTTGTAAATGATGTGACCTTTCATCCCCTCATCTGGGACCTCACCTGACAGCCACAACTTTTCAAACATGATGGAGAACATCTTGGCAATCACCTCAGCCAGCTCCTTCAGAACCCCGGGATGCACACCATCCAGCCCCATAGACTTGTGCACATTCAGTCTCATGAGGGGGTCTCGGACTTGTTCTGCCCTTACAGTGCAAGGGGGGGGGGGGAGTGAAGGGGGGAATTCACCACCCTGGTCACCACCTAGAGGCGTAGGGATGCAGGGCTCAGGGATGTGAGAAATACTGGAATCCTGGCTGCCAGTGAGGACTGAGGTAAAGAACTCATTCAGTACCTAAACAATTACTCACAATTGTTCAAAATAGATGAGTGAAATGACCTGGAAATACCATTAATTACTGGCATCATACAATATTAAAGCGATCTGAAAATGAGCAGAAATAGTTCATCACTGAAAACCTCTCTCATTCATGTATATGAACTACTTCAAAAAGAAGAGTCAAGACACCATACATTCTTTAATGTCATTAATGACTGAGGAAGCTATAACTGAGAGGATCAGGCATAAACAACTGAATTTATCCCTATTCGAAGTAAAACACAAACCAACATCTCTGCTTCTCCTTTGCCCTTCACCACCTCTCTTCACTTAAAAGGAATTCTTAGGTTCATGGACCTTAGTTCAGACAGTTGGTAGTGCTTTGTGTACTGATCTCTAGTGCCATCCTCATTGAGCACAAAAGCAGCAAAAAAGAGCACACAGAATTTAAATCTGAAAACAATGCGAAGAAAGGGAACTGCTAGTGTCCTATCTTTTAAAGAATGAACTACTACTCTGCTACTCACATTTGCATTTACAGTTGTTTCCTATGGGCCTACAATTTGGTACTCCTACAGGACCAAAAATTCACATAAACCAAGTGCCAAAATCTCTCGCCACAAAGAAAGGCCTTTTCTTATAAGTAGAAAACAAACATAAGAAGAAAAAGAAATGAAAAAGAAAAAAAAAAAGCTAACTTAATAAAAACACATATTTCCCTTGCTGATTTCCTTTGGGCGCTTGCTTATGTAGCATTTCATGAGTGTAAATGTAGGAAGTGCTCTACATCAATTCTACAGATATTTAAGGAAAATTTACCAAACTCACTGAGCCTGAAACACACAACTCAGCAATAGAACAAAATCCCTGCCAAAATATTCTGATCTAGCTGTGGAATATTCAAAAGCAAACAGACTCAATGTAGCTCTAAATATATTCAGATGCATTTCTGGGCAGCTACAGAGAAATAAACTGTCACATTAACAAAAAGCTTTTTGACAATTTGTATATTAGCCTTCAGTCTGCACATAAATGTCATTATGTTTATGACCAAGAAGAAATAAACATAAAATTGAAAAAACGAATGCAATTTTATTACAGAATAGAATGCTCCGAAGTCCAGAGGACTTTGCAGACAGCTGCCAAGAAAACAAGGAACAAAGCTAACATGTTTCTATGACTATTTTTTTGTTCAAATACAAACTCTCTCAGTAAGTTTCATCTATTTCAGGAACTCCTTTATTAAGCAACATACCCTTCAAAAGTGAGTTACCATGCTTTCTCCATTGTGATAAATGTATAAAATGAATTTCGGGTTCTTTGTTTCTTTATTCCTACAGCTCTGAATGCCTCTATCGTCTTTCTAAGAGAGTTTTGTTTGCTGTTTTGTTTATATTTCGTACTCTGTATGAAGCAATCCTTTTCTAGAAACAATGAGGCATGAGCTAATGTATTTATTATCCCCAGTATCACTGTGTTTTCCTTGTGTTATATCCTTCACGAAAACTCAGGTTATTTTTTCCAGGCAGGATCAGTTTCCAGTTGGACACCACAGCCAGAAAGCTGTCGGTTTTCAGAAGCAGTTCCAAGGACTTATTTTTCAAACACCTTTACCAGCATCTTTCCACTATTTGAATGCCTCTACAGTGATCTGCATAAGGTGAGTAAATCCTTATCTCTGTAGTTTCTAGTGATTTTGCATTATATCTTATCAGAAGAGTTCATTTTTGTGTAAAACATCAGCCACTGAGAAACATTCTGCTGATAATGTGTTGGTTATGACTACCTGTTTAATCTTTCTTCAAAGCATACTCACTGTTACTCCATTTGGTCCAGCTATTTTGTCATCAATGAAAGTTGAAACTCTTCCATTTCAGTAATATTTCTACAGAGGTCCACAACCTGGTGCATTGATCCTGTAATTACAAGGGGATTAACATCAGTTACCAAACAGGAACTGCTAACTATGATACGATAAGCACTGCATTATGATTTTCATGTATGTGCTGCCTTTTCATGTTCTGATGTTTCCGTGTGCAGGCTGACTCAGAGGTAATGCACACACTCTTACGTCATTTGTCACAAACTGCAGGGAAGCAAAACTCTTTTACACCTCTCAGTTTCCTCAAAGATTTACTTAACCTCTAATTAGACATAAAAACAGCTAAAAAGATGCACGTGGGCCTGACAGAGTATGGGACTGAGCCATGTAACTTCCAAAATGAAACAGCAAGAAAACTCAAGCTAAGGTATGAAACAACAGGCTGGGAATTTCAAGAAGCAAAACCTGTGTAAGACCATCCAGAGCTCATCACACTGACGTTTACTCTGAGGTGTACATTTGTAAATATATTTACATAAGCTTTACTATAGTTACTTTCATAATAGAATATTTCCTTGTTCCCTTTTATCTCACTTGCAAAAGAATAAGATGTGTCAGAATCCACAAAAAAAGAACAGTAAATCTTTAATCTCTAAGGACAAACATTGCGAAGGTTGTCACAAAGTTCTCCAAAAGATTCAGTACTTCAAATCTTAAAACTATAATCCAAGTATGATTCTTTGATTTTATAGATAAAAATACTACAATAGCACAGTGAGTAAAAAGAGGAACTTGAGCAGTCAAGAAAACAGAAATCTAATTCCTTATCAACACAATTCAAAGGAGGAACTGATTAATAATAATATCAATTTCCAGCAGACACAAATAAGAAAATTCCCTTAGGCAACACACAAAGAAAGTGGAATGCAGCACTTCACAACACAATGATTTTAACACAAAGTGTGTACTTAACAGCAAATGATGCATATAGTACATTTAGGAACAATTTTACTTAAGGAGTAGTCAGTGGGAGTATCACTAATTTTGCTTAACTTCCCGTTATTACTCAACCAAAGCCACTTCAGTATCAGAACCAGCCTTAAGTATTTTTAGGTGGGTCTGCAAAATCATCTTTCAGGCTTCGGGCAGGCAGGCAGACATTTGTCAGGTGACTAATCCATATAACTTTGGGGAGAAACAGCAAGCCGATTCTCTGTATTTCTAGGGAACGTTATCTATTAATTGGGATGACCATCCATGTGTCTTTGACAAGTTGGCTATATCATAAATCATCTTGAGCTGTAAAATATACTGAGCGGACACCAGGACAACTAGAGCCATCGGCCTTCCTATGCAAACAGTAAGCTGAGCATGGGAGTAGGAATAGAGGAAGACAAGAGCAAGAAAAAAGTTATACACAACCTTTTCCTTACTTAAGTCATACCCTTATCACATATTTCTGTCCTCTCCCTAGCTCCCTCCCAGCAATTAGCAAAAGAGGATCCATATACAAACAATGCTTAACCTACTGAGCTTACGTGGCAGTGTTTTGGAAGAGAGGTAAAGGGGGCCCATGTGATTACAGAGCAGTGGCTGCCCCAGGCCAGGCACAAAGGGCCAGTCACTGAAGCTGGTGGTGCCTCTGTATATACATAAGAAATATATATATAGATATATATAAGGAAAGGGGAAAAAGGGGAAAAAGATAAAAGAAACAGCCTAGAGAGTGAGAGAGCATGGGGGGCATGGGGGCATCCTGCAGACACCAAGGATAGTGAGGGAGGGCAGGAGCTGCCGCAGGCAGCGGAGCAAGAATTTCCCTTACCAAGCAGCTGGGTATGCCCCGAGTGAAGCCACAGCCCGTGCAGAGCTGCCATGTGGAGCAGGCTTAGTGTCAAAAATCGCAGGCAGTGAAGGTCTCGCTCTGGAGGCTTATCCTGAAGGACTGAAGGCTGTGCAGAAAACCCATGCTAGAGCAGTTCACCAAGGACTGCAGCCCATGGCAATGCTGTGGAAACCACCCAAACGCTACTCCATTCAGGCCAGAAGCGTGGCCCTGCAAAGAAAGGGCACTTTGGATGAAGGACTGCTCTACAGACAGCCTCTGTCCTTGCTTGACAAATTCAAGCAAAAAAAACAAACACTGGAAGAGACATAACCCCTGCTTCATTGTCAAAAGGACAGAACATCTACAAACGATTACTTGACACTGCTTTTGACTGATATTTTACACACTCTCACCTTGTAAAGCGTGTTGCCTTCTGCTTACCTTATTTGTACCTCCTTCAGGTACTTCTATTTAACTCTTCGCTATCTAGCTGACACGCAAAAGCTCAAACAACTATCAGACACAAAGGGTAAAGGCAAGTCACGTTGCTGTGAACATCAAATTCCTGATACAAAAATGCAAAAACCATATTACAACAACCATAGACAAGTTATCTAAGTTTTTGCAGATAATGACATTTCACAGCAAAACTGAATACAATGAAATCTACATTTCACGTTGCAATCTACTCTCCTACCTCTAGCTTACTGCTCTCTCTATCCAAATATTCATGTGGCTGTGAATTACCTTCTAGACACTGCCTGTACTGTAGGAGGTTCCTTATTACCTACTGTTCTATAACATCCTTATATGTATCCTTATAATTGGGGCAGCTGCTCTGCATAGACGTTTAAGCAGTCATTTTTGTGCCCAAAGGGAGACAGATGTTAAAAACTAAACAAAGCCAAACCTTTGTTTAATTTTCTTTTTGAGTGCCCAGTTTACAGTAAAGCATTCTGGAAATTTTATTTAGTTACAGATAAGAGCATAAATATTAGCAGTTTTTAACATTAACAGTTTTTAATCCTTATTTTAGGATGAAAACAAGTTCTTAAATCTTGGACTTTACCAACAATACATGTGTGGGCTACCATTTCTCCCAAGGAAAAAGAAAGATTTGCAGGAAGCATGACAGTAAGATGTGTGTGCCTTGTCCATAATGCACAGTGCTCTTATCAGACAAGCCAGATACCAATCCTTACAGAAACTGCAAAGTTTTAAATCCTAACGATGGAAGCTGCAGCTCGTCTGCTTAGCAGAGAATAAAGCAAATGTTCCCCTGTGCTGATGATATGCATTGCTACTTGCTGTTCAGAGAACACAAAAGGAAATAACCACGAAAAACTGATGCTAAGCAACAAAGACGACATTCACGGAGAGCTGGTCAGTAGAGTGATACACTGATAATCCACCCTGGAACTTGTTCAGGTTTGCAGTTAAGCGTGTGGCTCGTAATTCCCACACAATACAGTTCAAAAACCCACCCTGAAATTAGGCAAGGAAGACATCCCTGAGTCTCTTGTAAAGACATAACTCCTTCGGGTCACTTCAGTCTGTTGTTCAAAAACAAGAAAAAACCCTGGGGGAATCTATGTCCAAACAGCTATGTAGCACAGACAGCACCAGAGCGTCATATTCATCAGCCTGACATTAAATTCACAGAATGATGACAACTGAATTCAAAGTTTGTTCTTTACTTGGTACTGGACTTTCCTTATTAAACAAACAAACAAACAAACCAACAAAACTATCTGATACAGATATAAGCAAATATAATTTGTCCAGAAACTACCTTCCACATGACTACTACCATCTGTGTATATGGCAGCAATTTCAAGAAGTATGTTACTTCATAATGCATTACCTATGGGTCTGTTTATGCCATTCCCATCATTGGCCAGCATACAGTGAAACAGCACCAACCTGCTGCCACTTCACAGTGGGTTGGGGTTATTTATTTACTAGTGTCTTATGCTTTTGGAGCTGCTCAGAGATCAAATACACCGCTAGCCTTAGGGTCACAGCTGAGTACACTGAAAACACATTTTTCAGGTCTCAGGTTAAACTTACCAATTATCAATTTCTAACTGTGATATGACAGTTAGAGTCTCTTTTCAAGTTCTTGAAAAACACTTTTATGAAAAACATCACTGCATTTCTGAATCACAAGACCATAATTTTCAAAAAGTTATACCAAAATGCACGTTACTGGCATCAACTATGAAAACCCATTAAAAGCTCTCAAGTGGAGTCATCAGTTTTTCAGCATTTCCTGTTAGACTAAGATTTGGAAGATTTCATCCAGACACCATGCCACGAGAAGGTGTGACACATACAGATCAGCTAGAACCTTAAAGCAGAAAAAACTGCTTACAGTGCTTTATAGTATCTACATTATCTACAACATGTATTCCTGGCCCACAAGATGCATCAAAGGTGAAGTTTGTATAATGATATCAGAATACAGATTCAATATAAAGACATCACCGTAGATACACTAAGTTCATAACAATTATCTTTTCCCCATTGGAATGCACTTTGTCCAGGCAAATGAACTCTCTGCAGCAAGCTGAAGATAACTTAAAAACTTGCCGAAGCACAGTGAACACTCACACGAACACTGAATCAGCAATCTCAGTATACAAATTCAAGATGTAATAGCTGATGTTTTCAAAAACTCATGCAGAACAATTCCTGGTTCTCAGCTCTGGTGCATGTTCTGCGTGCTTGACGTATCTAGAGCTAGATAAATAGTGAGACACACCTTTCTTTGTATTTCAGAAAGCCAATGTCTCTCTCTCTCCAGTTATAAATGTCAAATTCTTACTACCTTCTCACTTTTTAAGGAAGCCTTACATAAGTGGTCCAATCCTTTTGCAGTTTTGTTGTTTTTTTTTTTTTTAACAGAAGTTTCATTTTATTGGAGCCAATATTTCTTCACAAACACGTTACCAAATTTCTTGCTTGGTTCAAACCACAAAGTGATTCAGTACAACTGCCGAGGCAGGTGCACATGAAGATGCACCAGTATTCTTTCACTCCTTTATTTAAGCAGGCACTTTGTGGCTATTCATCTATAACCCACAGCCTCTGATTTCACCCTCTGCTCCTACTGCAAAAACAAAGACTACTTTGAGCAGCTACCAAACACCATCTGCAATGATTCCCCCTCAGTGGCCTCCCCCTGCTCTGCCATTGTAAGCCCCCACCTGGAGTGCTGTGTCCAGGCCTGGGGGCCTCCAGTATAGGAGAGATGTGGAACTGTTGGAGGAGGTCCAGAGGAGGGTCACAAAGATACTCAGAGGGCTGGAGCACCTCTCCTATGAAGAAAGGTTGAGGAAGTTGAGCTTGTTTAGCTTGCAGAATAAAGGGCTCTGGGGAGACCTCATCACAGTCTTCCAGTACTTGAAGGGAGCTTCTAAGCATGAGGAGAACCAGTTTTTTGCATGTTCTGATATTGATGGGACAGGAGGGAAACAGCTAAACAGGTAAAGGTTTAGGTTAGATATTAGGAACTTTTTTTTTACTCAGAGGGCAGTGAGGCCCTGACACCACTGCCCAGAGAAACTGTGGATGGCCCATTCCTGGCAGCACTCACAGCCAGATTAGATGGGATTCTGGGCAGCCTGATGTGGTGGCTGGCAACCCTACCCACGGCAGGGGGGGGGAACTGGATGGGCATTAAGGTCTCCTCCAACCCAAGACATTCTATGATTCTATAACCCTTCACTAATGCCCCAAACGTTCCAGGCTAGCAAACACACTGCTGCAGGGCTTCCCTCCAGTAACACTGCTGCTGTCGCTCCCTGACACGATGCAAACACTGGGAAAGCAGCATATATCCCACAGTCATCTAGCAATACTTCTCTTTAAAAGCACAAGGTTGCATTCTAGAAGAATTCTGCTTGCTCCACAGAGAGGTAAGCGGTAAGATCAAATATCTTCTTTCACACTGACATACAAGATACCCAAGCACTAATAAAATGAAACAGTTACGCAGCAAGGAGAGAGGGAGGGGACTTCCTTTTATTCACCTGCGGTGACTGCCCCGCCGCTGTTCCACCCGGCAGGATCGCGGCACCGTCAGTCCATTCATTGCACGGCAACGACCGTTTCACCGCTCCCTCGGGGCGACGCGGGGCGCCCCGGGGCGAGGCAGCGGCGGGCCGGGCGGGCAGCGCTTCGCTCCCAGGCGCGGGTCGGGCATGCGGCTGTGCAACAAGAAGCTCCCGGCGGCGCGGCGGCGCTGCGCGGTGCTGCTCGGCTCCCTGCTGCTGGCCGCCGCCGTGGCGCTGCGCGGAATCGCCCTACCCTGCCGCGACGCCCAGCCGCGCTGCCGGGACCGCCTGTACGGGGCGCTGCGGCTGGAGCCCCGCTGGAAGCTCGACTGCGCGGGGGTGGTCCGCGGGGACGAGGAGGCGGTGCGGGACGCCCTGGTGAGCAACCTGGAGGTGAGGAACAAAAGGCAACCCCTGAGCCCCGAGGAGTACCTGAACATGACGAAGGACTGCCGCAGCTTCAAGGAGGGCCGGCGCTACATCGAGTTCCCGCTGAGCGAGGAGGAAGCCGACTTCCCCATTGCCTACTCCATGGTCATCCACCACAAGATCGAGATGTTCGAGCGGCTCCTGCGCTCTCTCTACGCGCCGCAGAACGTCTACTGCGTCCACGTGGACGGCAAGGCTCCCGCCGCCTTCCAGCAGGCCGTGCGGGCCATCGCCGCCTGCTTCCCCAACGTCTTCGTGGCCAGCCGCCTGGAGAGCGTGGTGTACGCCTCCTGGTCCCGGCTGCAGGCCGACCTCAACTGCATGCAGGACCTGCTGCGGAGCCCCGTGCCCTGGCGCTACATCCTCACCACGTGCGGCACCGACTTCCCCATCAAGACCAACGCGGAGATTGTCCGCGCGCTGCGGGTGCTGCAGGGGCAGAACAGCATGGAGTCGGAGAAGCCGACGGCCTACAAGCGGGAGCGCTGGAAGTACCAGCACCTCGTGAAGACCTCCATCTCCCGCACGGCCACGGAGAAGTCGCCGTCGCCGCTGCCCTCGCCGATGTTCACGGGCAGCGCCTACATCGCGGCCACGCGGGCCTTCGTGCGGCACGTGCTGGAGGACCCCGCGGCGCGGCGCTTCCTCGATTGGGCCAAGGACACCTACAGCCCCGACGAGCACGTGTGGGCCACGCTGAACCGCGCGCCCGGCGTGCCCGGCGCCGTGCCGTACAGCGACAAGTTCCAGACGTCCGACATGAACGCGCTGCCCCGCCTGGTCAAGTGGCAGTACCTGGACGGCGACACGAGCCGCGGAGCGCCCTACCCGCCCTGCACCGGCCGCTTCCAGCGCAGCGTCTGCGTCTACGGGGCCGGGGACGTGGCCTGGATGCTGCGGCAGCGCCAACTCCTGGCCAACAAGTTCGACCCCGAAGTAGACGATGCGGCCATCCAGTGTCTCGAGAGCCACCTGCGCCGTAAGGCGCTCCTCGGCCGGGGGCTGTGAGCGGACCGCGGGCGGGGATCCTTCCGCGACCCCCGAGGCGAAGGGTCGGCGCGCTCCGAGCGCGGGAGCGGCGGTGCTGTGGGGCGGAGGGGCCGGGACTCCGCCCGCCGCTGCCGGCTCCACACAGAGGCGGCCCCGGAGTTCTCCGGCGGCCGTCGTAAGCGGACGAGCGCGCTGTTTTTCCACTCCGCGTGCCGTCTGCTCGCAGAAGTGACGCCGAAGGTTCGCTGTTAGGTCACGAGACGAGCTGAGGCGACGCAATTAATCGGACCGCCCGGCTGAACATCGGCTGCTGCTCCTGTTTCGGTCGCTTGGGAGCCCTCTGACTGCTGGCCGTAGCAAATGTGCCGCAAGAGACAGCTCCTGGGTGCTCCGTGCCCTGTACTCACCTGAGGAAAGCTGGCTACGCCCTCCAGCCCTTCTGCACCTGCAGCACAGGCACAGGACATCTGTGTGGAGAGTAGTGCACAGGCCCACCTTGTCTGCCTCCTTCCTGCCTTTTTCCTCCACCCAGAGATTAGTTTTATGCAGTGCTCTCCACAGTGTAACTGCCACATCCAGGGGTGTGCTGGGCCTTAAGAAGAACAAAAACATCCAGTGCATTCTTTTTTTTACTTGAAGTTACTATGAGCTAGTTACTGAAGTTACTTTAAGTAGGAAAAGTTGGTCAACTTTTGTATCTCACCCACAGGTGCTTCACCCAGCTCTCCTTAAGGCCAGCTCCTTCCACACACCCAGCACATCCTCACAGAGAGGCCGAGAGTTTAATTCAGTTGCCTCTGTGCTGGTAGCAT